GATCCAGCCTCACAAGCATTCATACTGTATGCCTGCAGTTACAAAGCAGGATACTTCCTTGAAACATATTGTAGGAGAGTTCCTTGTGTGGAGAAAGGATGAACATGAAAACCATAATAAATTATGTGGGTATGATAGTGGTGGGAGATCTGCAGGGATCACGGTCCTACTATAAACCTTGACTGTCCAAACACTTGGAGTTCAAGGACAGCAATCCAGAACCAGATATATTGTACCCATTTATCAGACTTGCAGTGTGCTTGTGTGAGTGAACAAATGTGCATGCTTGTGTGTGGTAAGTTTATGAATATTAGAGAGAAGGAATATACGCACAAGAGTTCATATATAAAACTCTTGATCCATTTTTCATAACTGGCCAAGAGGTCAGAAATACGGGAATGAGAGCCAGACTAACAGAATAAGAGACTAATAGAATTGGAAGGGATCTTGGAGGTCTTCTAGTCCATCCCCCTGCTCAAACAGGAAACCCTATACTATTTCAGACAAATGGTTGTCTAATCTCTTCTTAAAAGCCTCCAATGATGGAGCACCCGCATGTTCTACTGAAAAATTGTTCTACTTGTAGGGAAATTTCTCCTTAATTCCAGGTTGCTCCTTTCCTTGATTAGTTTCCATCCATTGTTTTTTGTCCTGCCTTCAGGTACTTTGGAGAATAGGTTGACCCCCTCTTCTTTGTGGAAGCAGCCCTTTAGATATTTCAATAGTGCTATCCTGTCACCCTTAGTCCATCTTTTCTCTAAATTAGTCATACTCAATTCCAGTCAACTATTTGCCGGCCGTAGGATCTCAAACCCTGAAAGAGAGACCAATTGCCTCATGTAGTAGTCCCCATTTACAATCACAACAGTGATGAAAAACTAACTTTATAAGCAATGCTTTTCAGACATTCACAGCAAAGGAAAGCTGAAATAAGATCCTAACTCACAGTTTCACTTAGCAATCACTTCGCTTAACAATGGAGCTTCCGGTCCCAATTCTGATTGCTAAACAAGAACTACCTGCATGCAGAAACAATTGAGAGGATGTTCCCCACTCCATGATAAACCTGAAAGCATTTGTATTATTTCAAGCAATTCTTTTTTTGATGTTTTGGAATCTATTTCCAGTTGTGGATTTTGGATTGCTTTGTCTGGCTTTCTTTGCGTTTTGTGTTTTTAAGATTCTGATCTTTGCAGCAGATGTACAGTATTAATGCAAGATACCAGAAGACGAACAGGTGACTCTTTATGTTGTAGTGTGACTTCTCAGCAAGGCAGTTGGAGAGGGAGATTATATCACAAATGCACAAAATATACAGAGGAGGCAAGTGAATGAATGTAAGGAAATTAGAACAAGGCTGAATGACCAAAATAACGTTCTCTTGTAGAACGGTGGGAAAGTGTATGTGGTGTGTGCATGCTTTCCTAATAGAATGGGTCATGTGCTAGGTTTATTTTATTTTATTTTATTTTATTTGTCAATCGTTTACAAGGTATAAGTATATACATAGTTATGAATACATGAAATGGGTACATATAAGAAAAATAAAAGAAACAATAGGACAGGGACGGTAGGCACGTTGATGTGCTTATGCACGCCCCCTACAGACCTCTTAGGAAAGGGGTGAGGTCAATAGTAGACAGTCTAAGATTAACGTTTTTGGGGTTTGGGGAAGAAACCACAGTCAGGTAGAGTATTCCAGACATTGACCACTCTGTTGCTGAAGTCGTATTTCCTGCAATCAAGTTTGGTGCGGTTAACCTTGAGTTTGTATCTATTGTTTGCTCTTGTGTTGTTATGGTTGAAGCTGAAGTATTCATTGACAGGTAGGACATTGCAATGTATGATTTTATATACCATACTTACATCAGACCGAATACGGCGTAATTCAAGGTTTTCTAGGTCTACAATTTCAAGTCTGGTGGCATAAGGTATTCTGCAACGAGTAGAGGAGTGGAGAACTCTTCTTGTGAAATATTTCTGGATTTTCTCAACTGTGCTAATAGTGATAATAATAATAGTGATAATAGTGAGGTGGAAAGGTATAGGTATTCACACCTGTACAAATAAAAAGAAGTGTGGGTCATTCTGTGAAAGAGGCTGAGCACCAAAGAGAAAAGGCTATCTTTGAACTGGGTGGGAATGGTCACGTATGAGGAAGAACGATGTTGCTAATGGGCTTGTGCTACAGAGGGAGGTGGAACAAAGATGGACAGAATTGGGAGTGGGTGGGCTAAAAGAATTGGGTTGTATGTATCTATGTTGTGGGTTTGTGTGAGTGAGAGAGACAGAGAGAGGCATTGCTGCCCTCCTGTGGAGCAAGCAACTCCTCCAACAAATATTTCTGGCTCACTGCAATACAAAATTAAAGTTAGGTGAGATTTTGGCATTTAGTTTTGCCAATAGTATACACACAGAGACACATCTTTCTAGTAAACCACTGACTGATTTTCCTTTCAAAAACCCAGAAGGAAAATGCATGAGAACTTGGCTTTACCCTTCACACATTTGTAGTGTAAAAATTATTTTCTCTATAAGGGAACCTTGGGCTCCTCACTCATTTCCCTCCTCCCCTCTGAAGTTTGTTCAATCATCTCCGCCCATTGATCATTTTGGTTAGGACTGATGAAAACTGAAGTCTAATATCATCTGAAAACTGACAGCTCTCTATTACTCATTTATAAGGGCAACAGCTGGGCATTCTGATGGAGGAATGCCATTGTTCTTCCAAGGAATCTAAGGCTAGGGTTAGCTTCCAGCCTTCTATCTAATGTCTCATCTTTTTAGCAAATCTAAGAAGCCTGGATCCCAAGCAGACCCTGCCATAATGTGGGGGGAATACTAGGAAGGAGGAAGAGGAGGAGGGAAGGGGAAGAAGCAGAAGAAGAGGAGGAGGAGGAGGAGGAAGATAAAAGAAGAGAGAAGAAGAATGAGAATTCTGTATCCCAGCATCAAACTCATACCTCTTTGATCTATCAGCATTGGGATCTAAATTCAACTCGGTTTCTTTCCTATCCCCCCACCCATTCTTACTTGCAGTTTACCCTCCTTTCAATCGCAAGGCCTTGTTAGGGATAACATTGTTTACCCTAACTGATTTGGGTAAAAAATAATAAATAAGTTATCATGGTTTGTTGGTTAAAGTGTGTGTAACTTTAACTACAAGAATGTAATTAAGGGTGTGGTTGTAAAAGCACCATAAAAGAAGCAAGTCAATTGCAGCTCTCTCTCTCTCTGGCTTAATGATCCCTAATTACTGGATGGATTGATGACTGC